AACAAGACTACATTTATTTGGTAAAAAATACAGTAAAACAGTAATAATATGACTTAAAACAACTGTGTTCAATTTGAATATATTTTACAATGTAGTTTATTCCTGTGATGCAAATCAGAATTTTCAGCATCATTTCTCCAGTCTTCAGTGTCACATGACCCTTCAGAAATCATTCTGATATGCTGATTTAATGCTCAAGAAACATTTTAAAAACAATAATTATTGTGGAGGAAATTTTATTTCTCTCTGAAATATTAATAATATTATTAGTATTATTTGCGTCACTGTACTAAAGAGTGTTCTTTAGACTGTCTCCCAGTGCTTCAGTATGCTTGAGTTTTCGATGAGCTGAGAGATAGCAGGAAATCTATTTGATGTGTGTGTGCAAGACAAGTGTGAGACAGAGATGTTATTTTAGTTTCTTAGATGTCCTGGCTACTTAGAAAATGATTTGCATTAAATTCTTAGAAACTCATCTGGAGGACATAGTTGAACACATTAAATGGATATATATATATATATATATATATACAGGTGCTGTGTGTACATTAATGAGGAAAAAAAATTAACTTAAATGATTTTAGCAAATGGCTGCAATATAACAAAGAGTGAAAAATTTAAGGGGGTCTGAATACTTTCCGTACCCACTGTATATATATGTTGAATATGCATTATGATTGGATGAGATCAAGGCATCCGCATTTGATAAGGGTATAAATGTTGAGTTTGGGTGTTTCCTCTTTGTCACACTCTGCAGTCAACTTGGATTATGGTATGACTGTCACCTTTTCTTGCAAGTAAATAAAACTTCAAAGGACTTTTGTCTCATACCTTTATTGAAATGGAAAATTGCCACGACAATTATTAATGTTGACAGTTGTGCCGCTTAATATTTTTGTTTATTTTTGATCAATTGAATGCTTTCCTTCTGAATAAAAGTATATATATATATATACATAATTCAGAAAGGAAGCATTAATTGATCAAAAGTAAAATTCCTGTAATATTCTTATGATTATGTTTTTAAAAGAATAAATATACATTTATTTAGCTCTAGACAGATCAATATCCAATTATTAATTCTTCTGGGACCAATACACTTTCCAGTTGATCTTGATTAATAAATAAAGCTGAGCATAACTAGAAAAAAACTTTGATGTTTCCTTAAAATCATTCCATCAATATTAATAATATATTAATAATTAGTTCCCTAATATTTTCAGGTTTAACCATGGGGGCACTGTTATTATTTACCCTACACAACAATTTATATATTTATAAACTGATTTATTAATAATTGATTGTTGTAATTTCAGTGCTATTTTAGTATTAGTTAAATTCTATTACTTTAAACTTTCAATTACTAAAAAATTATAGTTTTAGTTACCAATAACAACACTAGGTAATTTGCCAACTAATGACCACACACCACAAATGAACCAGCACTAATTTGTGAAAAGAATACAGTGTAGGAAAAATTCAATTAATCTATTATTATTTACTTCGTATATTAACTGCAATATTTCTCTGATATTATGAAGTGCTAGATGAGTGTTCAAGTGTGAGGCCTGCTTCTGCCTGAATATGAGGAGATGACACGATGACCTGCTTGTTCTTCCTTACTTAGGAAAAACAGGATATTCTGAGAATTTCGGGAAGGGTATAAAAGCAGAGAAGCATGCTCACTTATTTTTGTCACACATATGGCGGAGCTCACTGCTGTATTGTCTGACCCTCTTGCAAGAATAAGACATTTAAAAGACTCTGTCTCTGACCGTGTTCTTGATGTAAGAAGAACATTTCTACAACAATACCCTCAGACGTGATATCTGCACAGCCTCTTAACAGGATTGTCCTCAACTGTAGGCAGTAGATTTGTTTAAGCGCAGAGTCCGACACCTTGCAGTTCTGCAGATCCAGTGTGTGAGTTCCGTTGTGCACGAGCTGAAACACAAATCACACACATGAGCACTGGATTATATGATCATCACAAATGCTCTTGCGATGGGGACGCCTTAACGTTACCTGGCTGATGTTGGAGTCAGTGACCGTGCCATAAGACATCATTATCCGCAATAATCTGTCTTTAACGGCAGCAGGCAACATCCTGATCTCATACTCCTCAGCACGCTGAGCAACACTAAAAGCGCACCTGTGTGCGGAGAAACATCACTCAAAGATCTGGAATTCATGCTACAAAAAGAACAAAATGAATACTGTCAATAGCGTTACACGCTCGTCTAGTAACGTTAGCACTATAATTTGTTACTCACAAGCTCATCAGAGAATCTATGGTAGCCATGATTTGGTCGTTTTCAGTGCTGTTTATACACGTTTATATGGCTAACTGCGAAGATATATGTAATATGCGTTCGTTTTGTTTTCTAATTTGATCACAGCGTCAACTTTCTATCATTTTTTTTTTGGTTTTCTCTCATTCGCGAGTACCAGAGTGGGCTGGTCTCATTTACAGCATTACGTCATTCATAAGCGACAAACATAAGCGTTCTATTTTTAAGCATTCTTTTTTAAAATGTATACGTATTTTCCATTTTAAATTCTGTTTTGCGTTTATTTCTGTGAATGTTTAATATTTATCGTAAAATGAATATTTATCTTAAAATTAACCTACAAAAGCGGTGTAAAAACGCCAGAGCCTCAAAACAAATATTTTATTATGTTTACTAGGTTATGGTATTGCCTGTGTCTGGGAATCTAGCCTATTGCCAAAGTGTTTCTCGAAATGTTATGCACTTTCCCTCTCACAATTTCACTTGTTCTCTGAAATAGTTACTATTAAAGTAATGTTTACTTGTTTTATCACTGTCTTCTAGGAATCATGGTTTAGCAGAACTTAAAAACCAGGAGCAAAATTAAATGTATTTGTAACCAATTTTTTTTTATTAAAAGGTCTTTTTTAACAAGGTCAAAGGTCAAATTTTTACAAACCAGTGGAATCCAAATAATAGTACCACAATATACAGAATAATGACAAACATGTTTCTTGAAAATGTAAAGTATAAAACTTGTACACATATACTGGAGGACTTGGTTAATAGCAGCTGTTGAACTGGATGACCAGTGTGCAAAAGATGCATTTATACTATAATACAAATAATCAAGTTCAAGTAAACAGTAAAAATGTATTTGTACACTTGGAATTTGCATCTGTTGAGCTTTATCATTCACAGGAATTAAACGCATGACAAAAATAAGCCCATTTGCTTTTATTTTAATAGAAAAATCAAGCTCTTTCACTGGAATTCAAGCTCTGCTTGGAGGCAATGTCCTTCTTTCTTTCTTGATATTTATACTTGAACTCTTGGAAAACGCTACATAAACCTGAGACATTGGTGGACTGGATGAATTTAGTGTGCTTTTTCTTCAAGGGGCTGAAACTCCAAACACCTGCAGATAAACAAGTACAAAGCCATTTAGATGAGCCAAACAAAGTTATGTGATGGGCAGATACAGGATTCAATTCAGACAATACACCCGGTTTAAGCTTTAAAAATGCAATGTTTTTTTTAAACCTGCATCATCATTTTCATCAATCAGTATTCAAAAGTGGTACACTGCAACTTTACTTTAGCCTATAAAAGGCTAATACAAATTTGTTACATTTCAAATGTTTTTTTTAAACCTGCATCATCATTTTCATCAATTATTCAAAAGTGGTACACTGCAACTTTACTTTAGCCTATAAAAGGCTAATACAAATTTGTTACATTTCAAATGAACAACATGAATCTTGTGTCCAATACCTTGGGTTGGCACATGGCTAGTTTTCATCCTTTTAGCTTTTTCTTCTGGGCCTGACATCCCTGAAGAAATAGGAACAAGAATTTAGAAGTATACATTAGGTACAGCATAACACAATTATAATTGTAATACTATATATTCTCAGCAGTTACCATTTTGCGTACTCTGTGACGCGTCGCCTTGAGCGCAATTAAGTTCAGCTCCATCTTCAAAGTTAAAAGACTCTGGCAATACTTTGAATTCCAAAGCAGGACCCTCATCCAATGGCATCAAAACAGGGTTCCCCAACTCATATTTACTTTTCCTCACATTCTCGGGTGAATGAAATAATTTGGATGGCACAGTCTTCCCTCTGATTATATATTTATTCATAGACATTTGTGTTGCATTCTTACATTGTCTCTTTTGCATATTTCCTTCAGTCAAATGGGCGTCACTCTTCACAACAGCATTTGGACTGAAAAGTTTTCTGACTGAAGTAGATGAAAGTCCATTTTTGCAGAGTCCAAAAATGGGACGCAAGGGGAAGATTTTATGCTGAGCCATGTTTTGCAAGATTGCTCTTCGTATTCTCTCTTGCCTATCCATAGCATCTTCATCTTGTGTTTCCACACATCTGCGCTTCTTTGACTCGCTCTCGTCTTTAATCTCCTGGTGAGAGCTTATAATTACTTGAACAGTTTTTGGGGGTTCTTCACAACTTACTTTCTCTTTGTATCTTTTAGTACGCTTTAGTTTGTTTCTTTTTTCAGAAGACGACCCATACAGTGAAAGACATACTGTATTAGTCTTCCTCTTCAAATTAGGAGCCGGGGTGTCTTGCTTAATCTCATTCATAAGAGTCACGTTTGCTGCACATTCTGTGGGCGATTCATTTCTTTTCTGCTCTGAAGTTTCAGTCTCTACCTTACAGACCTCTTTGGAACTTGAAATGTCCTTCGCAATCTTTGCCTTGTCCGTAGAAGGATTGTGCAGTAATGGGTTTTCGTCCTCCGAATCGTCTGTGATTTCAGAATCATCTGTTCTTTCAAGAGCAGCATTATCCATTTCCACCCGTTCACATTCACCTGGACTGTCTTTTTTAGTCTGCACCTCTAAACTTGTGCTGTAGGGCTCCGTTTTAATCTCCTTTTCTCTCAATTCAGCTTTTATCTGGCACATGCACACGGAGCCATTTCCATATTCTAAAGTTTGAAACCATTTAGCAAGACAACAGTAAGACTCCACCTTTTCACCACCAGAACTTTTATATTTCAACTCTTTTGGCTTCACTTTTAGGAGCACTTCTCTTTCAGACTTGAGTTCCGGGACTTGAACTTTCACCTCGTCTTCAGTGGCAATATGAAGTGCAATATCTTTCTGCAAGTCCTTATCTTCCATCTCACCGGCAAACCATAGCTCAGCCATTTCATGTGGGAGAACATTGACCTTAATAGAGTTTAAACGGTCAATCTTCGCAGTCTCCTCTTCGTTCATGTTCACAGGACGTTCTTGACTAGGTTTTGGATCAGTCTCGCATCTCACTCTCTCATCTGTGAGCATACAGTCAATTTCAGGCATTTCTTCATTGGACTTGATTTGTATTTGAGATGGTTCTGCGATCACAGGACAAAGTTTCGGTGGACTTTCACTGATACTTTGGCTCGTTGATCCATCAGTCAACCCTGGACTTTCAGCTCCATCAGTTTCTTCCAACCTCCCCATGTTTATCCGTTCTTTTGTTGATACTGTGTCATGGGGTGAATTCAACAAGCAGGCCTTGTGTATTGTCTCTGGTGGTGCAGCAATGTCTTTATTTTCCATTATTTGACCAGCAAAGCATCGCTTAGCCACTTCATGAGGGAGAACATTAATCTTCATACAAGCTGAAGTGTCCAACTTGACAATCACCTCTTCATTCATTTGCACAGGAAGTTCTTGACTATGTTTTGGATCAGTGTCGCATCTCACATTCTTATCTGTGAGTACACAGTCAATTTCAGGTATTTCTTCATCTGATTGCACTTGAGATGGTTCTGCAAGCACATGATGAAGTGTCGGTGGACTTGCATAGCCAATTGGGCTGACTGATCCAGACTGATTGTCTCCATTACAAAAATGCTCATTAAGCCTTGATGTTGCAGTTGAGGTTTGATGCTTGTTTTTCAAAAGGTCAGATTTTCCAGTTTGGTGTTGATGTTTTCCCACTGCCGTAACCAGATGTGTCATTGTGTTCAGTGGATGTACTATATTTGATTGGCAATAGGTTTGTTTCACAACCACTGGTGGTGTGGCAGTGTCTTCATCTTGCATTAACGGACCAGCAAAGCATTGCATAGCAACTTTGTGAGAGAGAACATCAATCCTAATAGATGTTGAAGCATCCATCTCAACAACCTCCTCTTCATTCATTTGCACAGGGAGTTCTTGACTGGGTTTTGGATCAGTCTCACATCTCACAGACTCACCTGAGAGTACACAGACAATTTCAGGCATTTCTTCATCAGATTCATTTTGCATTTGAGATGGTCCTGTGAGTACAGGATAAAGTTTTGTCGGACTTGCATAGTAAATTTGGCTGGTTGATCCATCAGCCAATGCTGGACTTTTGGCTTGATTGCAAACAGGGTCATCCAGCCTTAATGTTGCAGTCTCTGGTGATGCAGCAATGTCTTTATTTTCAGCAAAGTACCGTTTAGCCACTTCCTGAGTGAGAACAATAAGCTTAACAGAAGATGAAGCATCCATCTCAACAATCTTCTCTTCATTCGTTTGTACAGAAAGTTCTTGACAAGATTTTGGATCAGTCTCATATCTCACGGCCTTATCAAAGTCACTGTTAGGCATCATTTCGCTGGATTCATTTTGCGCTTGAGTTAATGGAACAAACTCCCAATTTTCAACCACAGGACTACGTGTCAGTGGACTTGAGCAGTCACTTTGGCTGGATGATTCATCAATCAATATGGGACTTTTGGCTCCAACACGATTACAAAAACTTTTGTCCAGTTTTGATGTTCTAGATAACCGTTTATACTTTCTTTTTAAACCACCATGTTTTTCAATGAAGTTTTGATGCTTTAATGAAACATCTCGTTTTTCCAATGTCCTCACCAGATTTGTCATGCCCTTCAGCAGATTAACAGTATTTGGTTGACAACTGGTTTGTTGTTCATTAAGCTTTGGAGAGAAATTATCAATCACTGGTGGAGATAGAGCATTCGAGAGAACAGGAGATTTTTCACATCTCTCATCGTACCTACTTTTCTCCGAGGACATGTGTTCTTCTTGTTGTACTTTGTCTGTAATTTCCGTTGCACCCTGTTTACATTTAGCTAAAGATGGCTTATAAGGAGCTGATAGCAATGTCCTTAGAAATGTAGATGCTGGATATTTGGTCTTCTCCTCTAGCCTCTGCCTGCTTGTTCGTTCTTCTGTTGATATTGTGTCAAGTTCTTGGGGTGTGTTCAACAAAGATGCCTTGTGCTTGTCTAGTAATGCAGCAATGACTTTATATTCTATCAACTTAGTGGCTGAAGCATACATATTTTCTGTCTCCTCTTCATTCATGTGCATACGAAGTTCTTGACTCTGTTTTGGCAAGGTCTCACATCTCACATTCTTATTGAGGACAGCACAGCCATTGTTATGCATTTTTTCACTGAATCCAACTTGCATTTGAGAAGATAACACCATCACCTGTTCTTTTGTAACCACATGAATGGGCTTTGGCGAGTTTGTACAGTCACTTTGGCCAGTTGATTTGGGCGACACAACACTTTTGGCTCCAACATCATTACAAAATTGGTCATCCAAATTGGACGTTCCAGTCGGGACACCTTGTTTATCCAAATCCTTCACAACAGTAATCATGGCCTCCAGAGAATTTGTAATAATTGGTTGACTGTTGGTTACTTCTGTAACCTGACAATTATGCTTTGGTGAGCAGTTGATGTCAGTCACAGACGCAGATTGTCCATTAAATGAAACGGGCACGTTTTCATATAGACTCTCATTGTTTGATGTTGGTTTGTCTGCTGGTACTTTGTTCTCCACCTCTGAAGGTAATTGTTTGCACCTAATCGATGATGGTTTTTCAGTGGCTTCTTGCAATTCGCTTGGTGTTTCACATGCCAAGTTTTGTGCTTCGTGTTCAGAGACATTTTGAAAAGACTTATAAAACCAAGAGTGACCACATTCCTTGTCGATGTCATCAACGTTTTCATTAAGATTCAGCCAAGACGACTTGTACGTCATCTTCGGTGGCTCTTCGTTTTGTTTTAAAGCGTGAAAATTCTCGATGACTTTGCTACGTGCATCATTTACAATTTGCCTCAGTATCACAGGCTCTTTCATCGGACAGTAAACAAAAACTTCTTTCATTATGCTTTGATATATGCCACTTTGTACAGCTTCACAAAATTTGTCAAAATCCTCGTTCCAGTAAATCTTTAAGATGTCCCTCCAAGGATCAATTTCGTGGATGTTCTTCTGATCCCCATCTTCCATTTGCTGAATCACGGTCATTAAGGCCTGCAATCGATCTAATGGCCATTCAATAAAATGAACAGTGTCCGGTTCAACAGTTTTCTTGTCTGTGATGGTGCAGTTTTTATTTGTCTTTTCAGCCAGTTCATTTTGCATTTGAGTTTGAACAGACTTCTTTTGTTCTGCAACCACACTTTTCAGCTTCGGCGAACTTGCGCAGCAACTTTGGCCAGTTGATTCATCAGCCAAAACTGGACTTTTGGCTCCAACTACATTGCAAAGTCCATCATTCAGCCTTGGCTCTGCTGACTTTGGTCGTTGATGCTTGCTTGTTGGATTGTTTGGTTCTCTCGTTTGGTTCTTCAGATTAGCGTTGGCCACCAGAGGATGTGGAATATTTGGTTGATGGTGTACAGTCTCTTGCACAGGCGTTTCATTCATTTTAATATTAACAGATTTGTCTGAAACATTAACAGGTGCTGTTCCTATAGGAGACAATGGCGTGACAACGGCAACAGCTCTCTGAGCAGCATTATTCGGTTGCAGGTTCTGCACACATGTAGAAAGCGTTTTTACATTAGCATTTGACATCTCAGCAATCAACAACTGGTAAGGGTACCCACCAATCAAACTACTTTGACCATGACGTGCGTTTTCTGTTAGGGGATAATATTTTAGATCAGATGGCAAGCTCGGCCTTGTTTCTGAGGAGTCTTTTGGCAAATTAGTAGGAGCATTTGCATGTTGCTGCCTGCTATACAAGTTGCTAGTGTTCACATTTCTAATAGCTTCGTTAAGACTTGTAGTGTCCACTGTTTTAAACTGTTGTGAATTATGTGGGCCAACTGCTGAGGAGGTAGTTTGCTGTTGCATGTATAAACTGTTAGTTGAGTTGAAGGCACAATGTGACATGTTTGGCCCATTACTGTTGGGAGCACCTTGTAGATTTATGTTGCTAATAGGTAGGAATATCTGGCAATTAGAGGGCATGTTCCACAGAATCATTTGGGAGTCCTGTTTTCCTGTTGGCAATGCATGTTTTGAATTAAGCATATTTTCTTGCGCAAGATTTTTGTCATTGGTAGCTTGAACACTACTAGTCAAAATCTGGTCACTGGTTGCCGGTTGGATTGTGCAGGTGAAGTAATTTCCAGTGGCACTTTGTCCAGGATATGAGGGACTTGCAGTGTGAGGTGGTAAACATAGCTGGTAAAAGTTTTGGCCCATCCCGTCTCTAGGTGCAGCTCCTTTTCCGTGCAAATTTTGCAGTTGTCCTGAATGTTGTGAATTGGCTTGCATGCTACTGAATGTTCAATTGTATCTCCAGGCAGAATGTAGGAGTGGAATAATCACATCCCTGGAAAAAAAAAGAAAAGCAAAATATCAGGGTAACAAAATACTTTCAAACTAAATCCCATTAGTATTACAAGATTCACTGGTGTTAGATTAATTCTTTGGAAGTTTATTATATCTGTTATTTATTCTATCAGCAAACCCCAGTGTTTTTCCATTGTAACGGAGGATACAATGAGCAGACACAGAGAATGAATGAGCAGACACAGAGAGTCACAGTGCGCTACTAAAGCACAATCTCATTCTCAACATATTTATACAAACAATGAGTCCAGATGTCCTGGATGTCCAATCAATAGGGATGTAACAATTAACCCCAAATAACTCCACACAATGTGTGAAAAAGTAGAAGTATATATTTTAAGAAACAAACAGAACAGGGAGTAAAGCCTTGAAATTATATTAGCAACTGGAAATTGGTCAGTAAAAAACAAAGTAGGCTCAAAATGAGGACACTTTAACACCAAAACAAGTTCTAGTCAAAAAAAGGATTTAAGGATTTCTCTCGTCTCTACTTCTGCTGGTTCACACCATTTCCACCATCAGTAATCTACACCTCACAGCACCCTTCCCCCCATTACCTTCACTAAGGTCCACTCCGCATTTAAAACAAAAGGCACCATCTTGTCCAAATGGTCCCTCACAAACGACACTTGATACTTATGGCACTTTCCCACTGCATGGTACGGCTCGGTACGGTTCACTTTTAGGGGGTTTTCCACTGGGTACAGTACCTGGTACCTGGTATTTTTTTTAGTACCACCTCGGTTGGGGTTCCAAGCGAACCGTACCGTTTTACCAAAACGTGACGTGTAAACTCTGCTGATCACGTATTGGCCGGAGAGAATCGTCACTACCTGCGTCACTGAACTTGCGACACAAACAAAAGAACCGCTAGATTTAAATCAGCACAGCCAGCGAAGGATCGAACGCAACTGTTTTGAACGAGCACACCTTTTTTTAACAACCAAAAAGTTTTGTTGTCTGTTGCGGAAGTACAGATGTTCCTCTCGTTGATAGCAGAGGAGCGGATCCAGCGAGAGCTTGATGGGGCGACACGGAATGAAAACGTTTTTTAGGAGTCGCGGCAGTAAAGGCAGCGCAACTATAACGACATGTGAATAATCCCGCCCACTCTAAAGCGGTACTGAACTGCAGTGGAAACGCAAACTGTGCCGAGCCGAACCATGCCGTACTGAGCCGTACCGAGCCGAGTCGTACCACGCAGTTGAAAAGTGCCAATATTCACACCAAAAGGCAAAACTCAACAAATCCCAAAAGATAAGTCCAACCACTTTTAAACCACAACCATATGCACACAGAGCAAAATGAATTCACCAGACTCTGTTAAAGGAAGCAAACTGCCCTAATCACTTTCAAAACACAAAATGAGCCAAAACTGATACTACTTTTCACAATATGTAGGGTTGAAAAAGATAAAAGACTTTGCTTTCCTGTCCCAAATCTTCCATAACAAAAGGGCCATTGGCATTCCTAAAGGTACAGAGGTGCTGATTGTGATCCAACATGTGAGGAAAGCTGTAATTTGCTGACTGGTCAGTTTGAATGTCTCACATTTGGTTTTTAGTCACATGTTTAAGGAAGGGATAAAAGAAGATTGTAACGGTTACTCTGTCTCTTTTTTTGGCTGGTGATCTCTCTTTCTTTGTCGGGGCCCTTTTCTTGGGGCTCTGCTCTCTCTCCCTCTATCTTTCTCTCTCTCTCTCAGGTAACATTTTACATACATGCTGGGTACAATTAACTGTTTATGTTTTACCATTGGCATCTGTTGTCAAGAGTTATTTCGGGTCTTACAATACATAGTTTGGTAACATTTACCATAAGTTACTTCAGCAGAATATTAGGAGAATAATTCTGCCATATGTATAATCAGACCAGTATGTGCCACTTATTCATACATTAATCATTTTGTATTATTTATATCACTTGAGAATTGTGAGAAACTCAACTGTGAGATGTAAACTTGGAACTGCAAGAAAAGTCAATTCTGAATTTAGTGGGCAGTTGCATAAAATGCTTAGACTCGACTCATAATTAAGTCGCATTGACTTGCCCCTTGTAAAGTCGATTAATATACGTACTATAAAATTAATTGTTCATTTAAATTAATTTTACAGTGCAGTTGTATTACAGTAGCAATAAATTACTGCATACTATTACTAATATAAAAAAAGTATAATTATTATATTCTAATTGTTTGGCTATTGCCAAAAAATTGAGACTTTACTTGGACCTTGGTGACTTGTCTGGTCATAACTTTAAGTTTGTAAAATACAAATGGAGATCGGTCTAATTTGAATCCGAAAAATAAGACCGATTATCCTTTGGTTAACTGTTAGCTGGTCAGACTAGCTCTTAAAACTTAGTCATAATAAACCAAATTTATGCAAATGGTCCTGTATCTTGCAATTCCAATTCTGACTTTTTTCCTTAGAATTCTGAGTTTGTTTGTTTTTTGACCCTCAGAATTGCGGGAAAATCGTCTGAATTTGAATTTGTGGGATAAAAAGTAGCAATTAGCTTCCACACCTATTGTCCTTGACTAGAGGGGTGTCATAAATTAAATATAAATTACGTAAATTACATGTTACGTTGCTTTATCACTGACCTTATGCACCAAAATTTAAGAATTCAAGAATCGAAATTTAACACTTAATTCGGTCACATCAGCACAATACCGCGGGCTGCTATAACAAAACTGACAGGAAATAGCTTTTAAATGCGTTTCATGAAGAATGTCATCTTTAATCGAATTAGTATTTTTTTTAAAGACGCCTTTAAACGCACAGACTTGACTTTGTTTGGCTCTCCAAATGTTACAGTTTACGCAAACCAGAAATGGAGCTCAAAAACTCTAACGTTAACCAAGAAACCTTTTTCACGCATAGCCTGCAAAATCATCACGGCCAAATTATAAACGATGGAAACAAAAAATCGTGTTTCCAAGGAAATACTGAACAACTTACTGAACATCCGTGTAAGAAACGCTCCTCTGTCTGTGATGAACGTGTTTCTTTCAGCGCTTTCTTTAACTACTTTTACCAAAGCTCAACGTGAGGTATCTCATCAGGCCTTTGAAATGCAGGAGGGGCGCAGGGTTGCCAGGTTTTCACAACAAAACCCGCCCAGTTGCTACTCAAAACTAGCACAAAACTAGCCCAATCGCGTTCCGGGGGGTAAAATACACGTAAATACACGTTTTTTGGCAGGGTTACCCTGGTAAAAGTCGCATTCCAGGGGCTAAATATCACGTTATTGGGGTCGCTTCAACCCGCGGCTACCGTGTTAAAATAGCACAATTCCGCGGTAAAAACCGCGACTTGGCAACACTGCCAGGTCCATTTTATTAGGTCGATTAGGCGCTGTTCTTTGTATGTGTGTGTGTGTGTGTGTTAGTTATTGAACATTTATTAGGAAAACGTTGTATTCGTTAAAAAACTAAAATCACAATTCTTTCATTTGTGTATTGTATACTTCATGTGCAGTTTCTCCACAACTGATACAAATGATTCAGTTTTTCGCTAAATTAGGGGTGATCTGGCAACATAGAAAACTCACCAGCCACTGTTTATCCGAGAGCTTGAAGTGGAGAGGGTGAGCAGCTTTAAATACCTGGGGGTCCACATCAGCGAGGACCTCACCTGGACACTCAACACCACCCAGCTGGTTAAGAAAGCACAACAGCGGCTGTACTTCCTGAGGAGGCTGAGGAAGTTTGGCATGTCACCTAAGATTCATTCTTGGGAGACCTTTTATTAGGGTAGCACACAAAATTTAGAAATTTGTTAGTAAATCTTTGGAAACATCCTGTGTTTGTATATAAAGCTAAATGGGGGACTGAATTTGGCACCTCAATTTTTTTATGAATTCTTTCTTATCTTTCTGCAAGGCTGCAGCTTTTGGGCCTACTATTATGTACTGTGAGATTATGATGATGTTTAACCCTTCTCTGTCTGTTAGCCAGCTTTTTCAAAACTTTAATCCTGACTTTGATTATACTTCATTGTGCAGTCAAACTCAGTTTTTAGCAGTTTCCATAGTTCATGTGGCACTTGTGTGTGTTTTTTTTTTTTTCTTTTTCTTCTTTGTCTCACTTCAGCAAATCAGTTTGACGTGCCCTAACCCCCCTCTTTTTTTTTTTCTCAATCATTCTTGGGAGACCTTTTATTAGGGTAGCACACAAAATTTAGGAATTTGTTAGTAAATCTTTGGAAACACATCCTGTGTTTGCATATAAAGCCGCTATGACATGACTACACACATGTAATGTTTGGGGTCATATTGACCTTAATAACAGTATTATTGAGAGCAAAGTATTTTCACGTTTTGAATCTTTTTGGTATCTAACGTATCATTTCTTAATACTAAACTCTCTCTCTCACTATCTCTCGCTATCTCTCACCCATACACAAACACATGCACACACACACACTCTCTTTCGTACATACACCCATAAACACACGCACACAACACTTTCTCTTTGCTCTCTGTCACACACACGCACAAAGTCAGACCAACATACAGGTTCTCACTCTCACATGTGTGCACACACACATGCATTCAGGCACACATATGCATGCTCTCTCTCACACACACACACACACACAAACACACACACTCACAGCTGCTCTGTTCTCCTCCTCCCTGCACTTCTGCTTTTGCTTTCACTCTTTGCTGACACTCGCAGAGATACTTTCACCCACACAGAGGTTCCTTGCTTGCACACACACAGCTGCTCCGTCACTCCCACTAAGTGCTTCCACTCCCCCTGTCATGCACACACAGATCAGATGAGAGAAACACCAACCAGCCTTGGTTTCTCACTCTTTGTCTCTCTCTCATTCTAGGAACGAAAAACCAGTCACTTTTTACTTTTTCTTTATCAATAATTGTGTTTCACAATTTGGATCACAGCGGTTTGACCTTTTTCAAAAAAAAAGTCTGCATGTGGTCACATCTGGCTTCGATTAGTAGGGAGAAGAATTGCCGTCTGCTCACGTTACTGCTGGACGAATACTCGAAATATATATACACCGATTTTATTTTATTTTAAAATGTATTGTTCATAATATTAAGCCTTAAAGTTCTGCATAATTAAGGGCGTGGCCACTCATAGACTGTAAAAAAATTAACGAATTTCGCACGCTCAAAGTCTGGTAGTGTCTTTGCGCGGCTTAACTTACAGTAGGCTTGTAGGCGCTCCCATTTAAATCAAGAAATATGCGTGGAAATAACATGAAAACTTTTTTTTCGTTTCATCATACCCGATTAATGATTGTAAACTGTGATTGATATGTTTTGATGAAACATCTGTGATGAACTGTAGGGAGAGAGCGGGGTGATTTGAGCCTGTGGGCAAGTTGAGCCACCCCTTGTTTCTAGGCAATCTTAAACAAAATAGGTCGATGTGAACACAAATATATGCAGAGTTATCCATTTCACTCACCCTGTGATGGAGAGAGGCACATGGAATAACTGGCAACTACATTTTTGTGCTTTAAGAAGTTATGAGGCTGTTAGCATGATGTTAGCTCTAAACTGCTGAATGATTCCAGTTTGTTAAAATGGTAGGAGTGGGGTAATTTGAGCCAAAGGTCCTGGGGTAAGTTGAGCCAATGGCTCACCCCTTATTATGATTATAAAGTATTATTTTACTGTACATCTACATTATATTTCATTAATTTTAGACCAAACATTTTTGATTTTGTTCTTTGTTTTGAGCTTGATTTTGTTCTGAAAATTTTAAATAAGCCTTGTTTATGAAAATTGGCCATTGAAGTTTTTATGAAATTGTATTTCCCTGCAACATTTATAAGTGGGATGTTGAGTACTATTAGCCCTGAAGGTCAATTGCAGTCCATTATTTATTTATTTAAATACTTATTTTTAATTATTAAATTTGAACTTTATTTTGTTATGAAATGTTTAAATAATTCAAATGGATGGTCAGTCCATCACAAGGCTCACACATATTTTTAAGAAGTCATTTTTATTGAAATTCTCTTCCTGTGATATAGTATGAGGTGAAAATGTTAATGTTTTACTTCAGCATAATCAGTGGCACAGTTTAACTCCATGTGACTCAACTTACCCTCTCCCTGGCCAATTTACCCCTCACTGGGGGCAAGTTGAGCCAAGAGACCACTTTTTTTTTTTGGGGGGGAAGCCATATTTTGAAAGCAGTTTATTTTAGATCCAAAGTGACTATTTCCAAGGATGTACCACATTCTGAAATGTATGTACATATTTAAGTTGGACCCATTACTGTCATGTGCTAATGTTAAACACACTGTAAAAAGGGGCTCAACTCCCCCCGCTCTCCCTACATCAATAAATCACAACAATCCTGGGCACTGGAACTACCATTCATAAAGGTTACAGTGGAAGTTATTTTACGCTACTATTCGAAGCTTCCACTTCTTGAACGATGTAGGAATGTTTAGCAACTAAACCGAGTAATTCACTCAAACTAAGCACTTTTTTTTTTTTTTACTTAACTTCACTTTCAGGGTATGATGTGATTTGAGTTTCAAAAATAAAAATAAATCAAATCATTATTCTCAAATCACATCAAAATCTTATTGTTTATACTTTCATTTCTTTTCATATTGCTTCTAAAATAATAACCGCTACAGCAGTACAATGATCAGCAACTACAATAATACATTAAAATGCATCAATTTATTATAATTTATCTGGGCCATAAAAAGCAAGGCAGTAAAATATATAGATCAGATGACACAACAACAAAAGTAAAATCAAATAAGCATAAAATACATTCTAAATTAACAGTAAAATAAACATAGCAAACATTATTATGATAAACATACAATTTGTCATCATCACATGATTGATATGAGGGTGATTTATGCATTCATATGACAATTTGATTATTAGGCCCTATCCTCTCCTCCCTGTCAAACTGTCAAAATCTGATTGACTGATTTTTCCAGTCAACTTTTTTCACAGCTCAGAAATTTTCAAAAAGTGTTTAAAAGGCCTCCTGTCAGTTATTATCAGTTCTGACTCGTCTTTCTCTCCTGCTGTCATATGGAAAATGAAAACGAAGATTCGAAATAATATGCAAAAAGCTTAATATAAGAAATCATATTAAGACCGTTAACACATGTGATGGAAATTTCTATATTTTTCTTTATTCTCTATTTTCCATGTTCTGTTTGCACAGATGTTGGCCTTCAGTAGTTCTCTGTGTATATGGCTAAAACGTGTGTGTGTGTATGTATCCTCAAATACATGTCACAGTGGGCTCTAATAAAATATGATTGACAGATAAATACAATTTTGACAAAGCCTGGATAGATATAGCAAGATGTTTCTAATAACATGCACAAACGGAGTATTTCCACTGAGATCAAAAATTCAGCCGCTTCTTTCATATATCACTGGCACATCATTTGATTCATTATCCTTCTCTCCGCGCTGCAGAGTTATGAGACCGCAGAACCCCCGCTCCTCGCCTGAGTCAGGTCAGGACACAATCGAAAGTGTTAAGGTGTGAACCGCCCCATCAGACAGTCTGGCTAGGCGCAGGCGGAGGTGGGTGAAGCGGCAGGAAGTCGTCCTGGAGGTGCGATGTCATTCAGACTGTGTCTTTGTCATGTGGCTGCTCTCGGCAGGATGAGAGACGGCACTCGCTGTCAGGCATCCCATTGATAATACGTGTTCATTTAGATTGTATTATTATACGTATATTAGTATATTCATTTATTAATGAATTTTCGTTTTCTTCTTGCATCTTTTCCACTCTTAACCAGTGTTTTTTAGTATCTTTGAGATACCATTAATTATTAATATATTTACTGTTTTCATTTTAATTAATATAATTTTTTTAAATTTTATTTCAAGTAACATATAATAACCCTGTCTCCCGAGTGCTGACAATGCTAAACAGAAACGACTTTACCAGGGAGGAGAGTCAGGCAGTATTTGTCCCTTGGCTTTTCAGTCATAAAATAGATTACAAATAAAGTCCCTTATAAAATACATAATTAGACAATGCTTTATTTCATTAAATAATTGATTTTATGATGGTTTTTAAATGCCATTTTAAGTGTTCC